CCGGCAGCACTCTGGGGCCGGGACCGAGACTGAGATTGGCACTGGGAGCACTCCGAGACCAAGACCAGTAGCAGCACTGGGTCCAGAACTGCTCTGAAACCGAGACAGAGACGGGGACCGGCACCGCTCTGCGATTGAGATTGACACGAGAACCAGAATCAGCACTGGGAGTGCTCCAGGACTGAGACGGAGATCGAAGCTGGCACCGGGACCAGGATCAGCGCCAGGATGACTCTGAGATTGGCAAAAGGATTGGAAATGGGATTAGAAATGGGATTGGAATTGGGATCCCTCCTGAAACTCTGCATTTGTTCCAAGGAGCTTTGGCTGCACCCCCAGGCAGGGCGGGACCCCCTTGGTTTACATCGATCTGGTGCAGCATCCTAGTCCATATGGTCCAGTTTGTATGATCCCAGTCTCTGCTCCTAATCCCTATGGTCCCAGCCTGTGAAATCCTGGTCCACGTGATCCCAGTTTGTATGGTCCTGCACAGCACACACTCCAAGGACCTGGAATTCTATTTCCCAGCCAGGAAAAGATATTCCTGCCCTTGAAGGCAAAGCTCTTAAGAAGGGGCCAAAAGCCAAGTGGAGCAAGATCCTACAGTGACATTTCACTGCCAGCCTTCAGAACTTCACCCATGGCTGTTGTAGCTCCTGCACTGGGAATTAAATTAGGGCAGGGTCTTTGGTGGCAGCTGTCCTGGCTCAAGGGAGGCACTGAGAGAGAAAAAGAGCAGGCAAAGAGAGGCAGGAGAGAAAGGAGGACACAAACACAATCAGCTTAGAAGGTGGCACTCTGCCAATAGAACTGCAACTGACTGAAAATGAAAGGGACAGAAATCAGTAACTCTGAAAGTTTTATTTGCTATCAAATACATCCCAACCAGCCAGCCCCACATAATCCCCATCCCACCGCTCCAAATTGGGATCCCACTTCTCCCAATCTCCTTCCCACCCCATCTCACCATGCCATCGGTGGAATCAAGTGAGTTTGGCATGGGATTGAGTTTATTTTAAGGTGGGAACAAGCTATTTTGATGTGGGATTGAACCCATATGAATTAAAATTCAGTTGTTTAACACTACTATAAAAGTGTGTAAGCTGGATCAATAAATCGGAGTTTGATTTATTGATCCAGCTTACACACGTTTATTGTAGTGTTAATAAAGTTCATACATATTGCAAAACCCAAGCTCATTATTGGCTACAGATTACACACCAACCCCTCCTTTTGTTGTCAATATCTGTGGTTTCTTGTTGAGACTAACATTTGTTTTTCTCATCCTGTTGTTGACTTGTTATTGACTGTTCTCAAGGCCTCCATGTTTTCCATCATGTTTTTTCTCATCACTTTACTCAAGGACACGGTGTTTATTGTTTAAGGAAAAAGCCTGAGAACTTGCTGCTTATAGCTGCCTTTTACTTTTTAACCAGCTGTATATTTTCATGGCCCCTCTATAAGCCATGTCTGAACAAAATTCTGCAACAGTTGTTTTCAGTGGGATTCAGTTGTTTTGAGGTAACCCTCTTGGCTTTTGGAGCGCAAAGAGATGGAAAACACTGCCCAAAATCCCCCCACAGAACCCACAAATCCTCCAGAATATTGTCCCTAAACCATCAATTCTCCCTTAAAAACCTCTGAAATTGTGGAACTTTAGACATCTTTGATCAATTTATTTCATTTAACCCTGTTTTGGCTGTTTTTAAGGGATGAAGATGAAGCAAAAGAAAATTGAGGCCAAACCAAAAGGAGAGAAGCAGCCAGGTGTGTTCCCAGCATGGATCACAAGGAATGTAAGTGACCAGGGCGGTGCCCAAAGTGCCTCCTCCAGTGCAGGATGGAGCAGAAGCAGTGCACGAAGCTCTTCCCGCATTCAGGGCACTTGCAGGGCTTCCCTTAGTGGTGCCTCCGTTGGTGTTGGGGCAAGTGAGAGCTCTGTGAGAAGCTCTTCCCACACTGGGGACACCCGTAGGGCCTCTCCCCAGTGTGGATGCGCTGGTGCCTGATGAGGTGGGAGTTGCGCTGGAATCCCTTCCTGCACTCGGGGCAGCGGAAGGGCCTCTGCTCTGTGTGACTCTGATAGTGTCGGAGGAGATGGGAGCTGGTCTGAAACCCCTTCCCACACTTGGAATACTCGTAGGGCCTCTCCCCGGTGTGGGTCTTCTGGTGCGTGATCAGGTGGCAGCTATGGCTGAAGCTCTTCCCACATTCTCCACACTCGTAGGGCCTCTCCCCGGTCTGGGTCCTCTGGTGCTGGATCAGCTCAGAGCTCCACCTGAAGCTCTTCCAGCACTCCACGCACGTGTGGTGCTTCTCCCCATCATGGAGCACCAGCTCCGAGCTCTGGCTCCATCTCCGGCCGCCTTCCCGGCCCAGGCTGGCTGTTTCCCCCTCAGATCCCTGCCAGCTGCGTTTGCAGCCCCTCCTCGTGCAGCATCTCCAGGGCTTTTCCTCCCCGTTGCCTTCCTGCGCCGTGGAGCTGCTCAAAACGGCCTCTTCCACCAGGTTCTGCCATGGGCATTTGTCCTCCCTGCTCTCCATGCTCAGCTCCTGCTCTGGGGGAGGAAGGACAAGGACAGGATGGGATTTGCCTCTGTGCCACAGGCAAGGGCAAGGAGATTCCCCCAGGGCTGAGCTGCAGCCGGGGGCCATGCTGGGCTGGAGATGGAGCAGCAGAGGGGAATGGGGCACTGACTTCCTCCTCACCTGCCTCAGTGTCCCGGGGCATCTTCCTCTTCCTCACAGCCTGCCAAGGGTTGGCAATGGGAAATCCTGGTTTGGGGAAAACAAGGGATGAGCACAGTGAGTTTGAAGGTCCCTCTGCACCAGTCCATCTCTACAAGTCACTGGACATCTGGGCTCCAGAAAACCTCCCAAACACCAAGATTCAGCCCTGAAAAAGCCTCCCAGGTACCTCGCCTCTGGTGTTACAGTGTTCCCCCCTGTCCCAGCTGCTGGGGTCACGCTTGGATTGGGGGTCCCCCTTGTCCTCGGTGCCCGCCCTGCCCAGGCTGCTGGGAGACCCAGCGATCCCAAAAGTTCCCTGTTTTCCATCTCCCCACTTTGGGATGCCGGGGCTGTTTGGGCTCCCGGGCTCCCTTCTCCCCTCATTCTCTGCTCTGGGCTGCAGCGGCTCCAAGGAGTCCCCCCTGCCCCTCTCCAGGCTCTTGAGGCTCCCGCCAATGGCGGCGCTCCCCCCTCTCTGGGCTCCCCACTTTGGGCTCCTGGGGGACACAGGGCTCTGCTCCTCCAGGCTGCCTCTGCCGGCAGCCGCCACCGGCACCCCCCGATGTCCCCTCGAGGGGCCTTTTCTGCTCAGTCTTGGACTGCTTCATTCTCCAAACATCCCCCCAAAAACCCCACCCAGGGACCCCCCAGGATGTCTGGGCCGGGCTCCCCCTCCCTGCTCACCAGCACGACGGGGGGGGGGCGATGATCCCACAGGTGGGGGCTGCAAGTTCAGGCAGGGCTGCAGCGCATGGTTCCATCTGCTCAGCCTTGATCCGCCTTTGTCCCTCCTCTTCCTCTTCCTCCCGCTCCTCCTGTTCCATCCCCTCTCTTCCTCCTTCTCCCTCACCCCACCTCCTTCTCCTCTTCCATCCCTCCTCCCCCTCCTCTTTCCCCACCTCCTTCTCCTCCTTTGTCCCTCCCTTTCCCTCCCTCCTCCTCCTCCTCCCTGACCCTCCCTCCTTCTCCTCCTTCTTCCCTCCCATTTTACCCCTCCTCCTCCTCCTGCTCCTCCCTAACCCCACCTACTCCTCTTTTTTCCATCCTTTCTCGATCTCCGTTATCCCTCCTCTTCCGTGCCATCCCTATTTCTCCAGTCCCGGTCCATGCGATCCCAGTTTGGTGGGATCCCAGTCCATAGAATCTCAGACCAGTTTATCCCAGTGTGTATGGCCTGGATCCATATGGTCCCAGTCTGTGCAGTCCCAGTCTATAGGATCCCATTTCACAGGGTTCCAGTTTATACAGTCCCAATCCCTACTTGGTCCCATTCCAGTTTATCACAGTCCAGTTTATCCTTTTCCGTAGGATCCCAGTGCAGGCTATCCCAGTCCAGTTTATCCCAGTCCATAGGATCCCAGTTCCATATAATCCGAGTCCATAGGATCCCAGTCTGGGCTATCCCATTCCAGTTTGTCCCAGTGCATAGGATTCCAGTCTCTCAGGCATCCGCTGAGTAGGGAACTGGGATAACTGGGGGGCACAGGATAGCGGGGTGGGGGGGAACTGGAAAACGGGGGAAACTGGGATAACAGGAAAAATGGGATAAGGGGGGAACTGGGATAATGTGGGGGACTGGGATAATGGGGGGAACTAGGAGAGTGGGATAATGGGGAACTGGGATAATGGGAATTCCGGGATAACAGAAATTCCAGGATAATGGGAATTCTGGGATCAAGGGGAAATTTGGGATAACGGGAATTCCAGTCTAACAGAAATTCCAGATCAATGGGAAATTTGGGATAACAAGAATTTTGGGATAATGGGGAAATTTGGGATAATGGGAAATTTGGGATAATGAGAATTTTGGGATAACATAAATTCCAGAATTATGGGAATTTTTGGATAATGAGGAAATTCGGGATAGTACATATGATCCCAGTCCCTATTTGATCCCAGTCCATATTTGATCCCAATCCATTTGATCCCAGTCCATATGCCAGTCTGTATTGCTCGGCATACATTCCAAAAGGCTGGAATTCCAGCTCCCAGACAGGAAAAGATGTTCCCGCCCTTGAAGGCAAATGGAGCAAAATCCTACAGAGACATTTCCCTGCCAGCCTTCAGGACTTCAGCTCCTGGGACTGGGAATTAAAATAATATTTGGGAAATAAAATAATAAATAATATGGGGAGGGTTTTTGGTGGCAGAGGGGTCAATTAAAACAGGGCAGAGGTCAATTAAATCAGGGCAGGGTCAATTGAATGAGGGCAGAATCTTTGGTGGTCACTGGGGCAATAAATCAAAGGAGGGTATTTGGTGGTCCCTGAGGCAATTAAATATACGGAGGGTCTCGGGGGGTGCCTGGGTCAATTAAATCAGGGGAGGATCTATGGTGGTCCCTGGGTCAAGAGAGACACTGAGAGAGAAACAAAGCAGGCAAAGAGAGGCAGGAGAGAAAAGGGGACACAAACACAATGAGCTGAGAAGGCGGCACTCTGCAAACAGAACTGCAACGGACTGAACATGAACGGGAGAGAAATCAGTAAGTCTGAAAATTTTATTTGCTATCAAATGCATCCCACACACCCAGCTCCACACAATCCTCATCCCACCGCTCTAACTGAGATCCCACTTCTCCCAATCTCCTCCCAGCCCCATCTTACTTAGGTGGCTGAGGAATCAAGTGAGTTTGGTACGGCACTGAGTTTTTTTGAGGTGGGATTGAGCCCTTTTGGGTAAGATCGAGTTGTTTTCACTGGGATTTCAGTGGTTTTCAGGTGACAGATCCATCTCTCTTGACTTTTCAAGTGCAAAGAGATAGAGAAGCTAGAAACATTAGGGCCAAAACAAAAGTAAAAGCTGCCAGGTGTGTTACCAACATGGATCACAAGGAATGGGAGTGACCAGGGCTTTGCCCAGAGTGCCTTCTCCAGTGGGGGATGGAGCTGGAGCAGCGCACGAAGCTCTTCCCGCACTCAGGGCACTTGCAGGGCTTCCCTTACCGGTGCCTCCGTTGGTGTCGGGTCAAGTCAGAGCTGCTGGAGAAGCTCTTCCCACACTGGGGACACTCGTAGGGCCTCTCCCCAGTGTGGATGCGCCGGTGCTTGACGAGGGTGGAGTTGTGCTTGAATCCCTTCCCGCACTCGGGGCAGCGGAAGGGCCTCTCCTCTGTGTGAATGCGATAGTGCTGGAGGAGATGGGAGCTGGTCTGAAACCTCTTCCTGCATTTATCACACTCGTAGGGCTTCTCCCCAGTGTGGATGCGCCTGTGCCTGACGAGGGTGGAGTTCCACCTGAATCCCTTCCCACAGTCGGGGCATTGGAAGGGCCTCTCCTCTGTGTGACTCTGATAGTGCCGGACGAGATGGGAGCTGGTCTGAAACCCCTTCCCACACTTGGAACACTTGTAGGGCCTCTCCCCAGTGTGGGTCCTCTGGTGCGAGATCAGGTGGGAGTGCTGGCTGAAGCTCTGTCCACACTCCCCGCACTCGAAGGGCCGTTCTCCAGTGTGGATCCTCTGGTGCTTGATCAGGCTGGAGCTCCCACAGAAGCTCTTCCCACACTCCCCACACTCATAGGGCTTCTCCCCAGTGTGGATTCTCTGGTGCTTGATCAGGTTGGAGCTCCACCTGAAGCTCTTCCCACACTCCCCACACTCATAGGGCTTCTCCCCAGTGTGGGTCCTCTGGTGCACAATCAGGTCGCAGTTCCACCTGAAGTTCTTTCCACACTCCACGCACGTATGGGGCTTCTTCCCATCATGGAGCTGCTCATGGAGTACCAGCTCCGAGCTCTGGCTCCATCTCCGGCCGCCTTCCCGGCCCAGGCTGGCTCTTTCCCCCTCAGATCCCCGCCAGCTGCGTTTGCAGCCCCTCCTCGTGCGGCATCTCCAGGGCTTTTCCTCCCCGTTGCCTTCCTGCGCCGTGGAGCTGCTCAAAACGGCCTCTTCCACCAGGTTCTGCCACAGGCGTTTGTCCTCCCTGCTCTCCATGCTCAGCTCCTGCTCTGGGGGAGGAAGGACAAGGACAGGATGGGATTTGCCTCCGTGCCACAGGCAAGGGCAAGGAGATTCCCCCAGGGCTGAGCTGCAGCCGGGGCCGTGCTGGGCTTGGAGATGGAGCAGCACAGATGGGAAAGGGGCACTGACTTCCTCCTCACCTGCCTCAGTGTCCCGGGGCATCTCCCTCTTCCTCGCAGCATCCCAGGGGTTGGCAATGGGAAATTCTGGTTTGGGGAAAACAAGGGATGAGCACATTTGTAGGAGTGTTGAGGGGTAGGACGGTCGGGACGGATGGAAACGAGAGATCTCTGCAGCCAGGGCGTGGAAGTTGCGGTTTATTGCAAAGGGCCTGGGTGCAGGGCCCTGCTTGGAGCTGCCAGCCACAGGTCGGAGCGGGCCCGAGAGAAGAGCGGGGTAGAGAGGATGAGAGGGTGAGAGAGTAAGAGGGGAAGAGCGTAAGAGAATAAGCTTCCCATTACAATACAACAAATCTTCTTCTCTGTTGAATATTCTATTTCTCACTAAGCAATCTAGTACAAGATACAAATCCTAGAGCATTTACATACAGCCTGCAAGAATCATTACATCATGATACTGTGCTACATTTTAAACCCTAAACACACCGCTTTGGACCCCTTCTGCTGAGCTATTAGGGTCTGCTCTGACCCCTGGGTCTGTCTGCACGCAGAGGGAATTGTTTCAACAAAAGGGGATTACCTTCAGTCAGGCCACACCATTGTTTTCCAGTTGTTCACTAAGGTATCTCAAAGCTTGCTTCCATCTCAATCTTGCTTAGAGTTTCAATATTCTCAAATTCTTTTGCCAATCATATTTATGAGGCTTCCCTGTTTCATCTTGCCCAACACATGTTCAGTTTGAATGTCCCTCTGCCTGAGTCCATCTCTACAAGTCACTGGCCACGTGGGCTCCATAAAAACCTCCCAAACACCAAGATCCAGCCCTGGAAAAGCCTCCCAGGAGTTCCCTGTCCCTGGTCCCTCCCCTCTGGTGTTCGGGGGTTCCCCCCTGTCCCAGCTGCTGGGGTCACGCTTGGATTGGGGGTGCCCCTTCTCCTTGGTGCCTGCCCTGCCCAGGCTGCTGGCAGTCCCAGCGATGCCAAAAGCTCCCCCCTCTTCGCTCTCCCCATTTCGGGATGCAGGGCTGTTTGGGCTCCTGGGCTCCCTTCTCCCCTCATTCTCTGCTCTGGGCTGCAGCGGCTCCAAGGACTCCCCCCTGCCCCTCTCCAGGCTCTTGAGGCTCCCGCCAATGGCGGCGCTCCCCCCTCTCTGGGCTCCCCACTTTGGGCTCCTGGGGCACACAGGGCTCTGCTCCTCCAGGCTGCCTCTGGCGGCAGCCGCCACCGGCACCCCCTGATGTCCCCCTGAGGGGCCTTTTCCGCTCAGCCTTGGACTGCTTCATTCTCCAAACATCCCCCCAAAAACCCCACCCAGGGACTCCTCGGGATGTCTGGGCCGGGCTCCCCCTCCCCGCTAACCTGCACGATGGGCGCGGGGGGGGGGGGGGGGGGGGGGCGATGATCCCACAGGTGGGGGCTGCGAATTCAGGCAGGGCTGCAGCGCGGTTCCATCTGTTCACCCTTGATCAGCCTTTGTCCCACCTCTTCCTCCCGCTCCTCCTCTGTCTTATCCCCACCTCCTTCTCCTCCTCCATCCCTCCTCCCTCTCCTCCTCCCCTGTAACCCCGCCTCCTTCCCTCCTCTTTCTCCTCCCCTTCCATCCCTCCTCGAGCTCCTCTGTGTTATACCCACCTCCTTCTCCTCTTCCATCCTGCCCCTTCCATTCCTTCTCCTCCTCCCCCTCCATCCCTGCCCTTCCCTCCCTCCTCCTCCTCCCCCAGCAGCAGCCACACCCTCGGTGCCCCGTTCCCGCAGCCCTCGCAGCCCGTGGCAGGAGCGGGGATGGAGCCGGGACAGGTCGGGATGGGCAGCGCGGGGCTCTCGGCTGCTCCCAGCCGCTGCGGACGGGGAAACCCGGCCTGGGCCAAAGGAGAGGCAAACTGGGCAAACTGGGGGCTGCACATCCAAACTGGGCCTTGCTGGGGACCCTGCCTGGCCACTGCCAGCCCTTGGGGCTCCTCTCGGCACATCCGCCGGGGGGAACGCACACAGGGCTGGGGGATCCCAGCAGTGGCAGCACCACCAGGGACTGGGGTGGACTGGGCTGCACTGGGGTAACTGGGAATGACTGTGAGCATGCTGAGGGACACTGGGATATACCAGGAGTGTCTGTTAACCATCCTCGGGTGACTGGAACCACATTGGGAACAGGTGGGACCATGCTGGGGAGAACTGGGACACCATGCTGGGGGTACCTGGGAGCGAGTGGGAATGACTGGATGTACACTGGGGACAACTGGGCATGACTGGGACCATGCTGGCAGGGACTGAGATCATCTATGGAGTACCTGGCACTATACTGGGACAACTGGGATCACACTGGGAGGAACAGGGAGTGAGTGGAACCTTGCTGGGGGCTACTGGGATCCTACTGGGATCACAGTAGGAGGAGCTGGCCAATGCTGGGAGTGACTGGCATCATACTGGATCATACTGGCAGCAACTGGGACTGCACTGAGGGTGACTGGGAGTGGCTGTGAGCAACTGGCATCAGGCTGGAAGCTACTCAGGGCAGCTGGGAATGACTGGGAACATGCTGGGAGCAACTGGGATACACTGGGAGAGACTGAAACCACAAAGGGGGTAAATGGCAGCAACTGGAGCCACACTGGATGATCATGGGAGCAGCTGTGCCCATGCTGGGATCCTACTGGGATCCTATGGAAAATGGCTGGGATCATACTGGGAGTGACTGGGAAGGCGCTGGTTCTGACTAGAACCATACTGGAAGTGACTGGGAGCAACTGGGCCCACACTGGGAGTGCCAGGGAGTCACTCTGAGCATGACTGCAATAACGCTGGGAGTATCTGGGACTGACTGGGGTCATACTGGGGGTGACTGGAACCATACTGGGAGTGACTGGGAGTGGCTGTGAGCAACTGGGATCATGCTGAAAGCAACTGGGGGGAACTGGGAGTGACTGGGAGCATGCTGGGGCTGACTGGGATATACTGGGGGAGACTGGGAATCACTGGGATCATACTAGAGGCTCCTGGGGTAATCCTGGCATTGACAGGGAGCAACTGGGATCATAATGGGGGCCACTGGCATAATACTGGGAGTGACTGGGATCATCCAAGAAGCGAGTGGAACCATACTGGGAGTGACTACTGCTCCTGCTGGGGTCACCCTGGGAGCCACTGGGATCACACTTTGGGCAACTGCTAGAAACTGGGATCATCCTGGAGGCAACTGGGAGGAACTGGAAAAGACTGGGATCATTCTGATCTAACTAGAACTGTACCAGGCCAACTGGGATACGCTGAGACTGTCTGTGACCATACTGGGGGGACTGGAAGCACACAGGGAACAGCTGGGACCATGCTGGGGGCAACTGGGAGTGAGTTGGACCTCGGTGAGCGGGACTGGGACTATTCTAGGGACAACTGGAACCATGCTGCGAGGAACTGGGAACAACTGGAACTACTCTGGCAGCAACTAGGATCATACTGGTTTGACAGTGGGAGCAGTTGGATCCATGCTGGGTGAGACTGGGATCACACTGAGGGTGACTGGAGTCATACAGGGATTGACTGGGAATGGCTGTGAGCAACTGGAATCATGCTGAAAGCAACTGAGGGGAACTGGGAGTGACTGGAAGCATGCTGGGGAGGACTGGGATATACTGGGAGAGACTGGGAATCACTGGGATTATATTGGAGGCTCCTGGGGTCATGCTGGCATTGACAGGGAGAAACTGGGATCACACTGGGGGCCACTGGCATCAGACTGGGAGTGAGTGGAGTTACACTGCAAGTGACCGGGATCATACTGGGACTGACTGGGATCATACTGGGACTGACTGGGATCATACTGGAAGTGACTGGGATCATACTGGGAGTAGCTACAATCGGACTGGGATTGCAGGGGGTGTGATTGGTCCCTATCTGGGGGGTGCTGGGAGCTGCCAGGCGCATGCTGGGAGCCGACTGCGCAGCCACTGGGAGGAACTGGGAGCAGCTGGGAATGGCAGGATGCAGCTGCAGCAGTGGCAGCTCCCCGGTGGCCCCGTGCCGGTGCCACTCATGGTGCCGGCTCTGGCTGCACCGAGATCCCGCTGGAAGGGGATCCCAGCCAGGGACCCCATGGACACCAACCGGGGGAACCCCGGGCCGGGCTCCGACAGCCCCACGGGCAGGGAACGCTGGGACAAGAGAACTGGGGAGACACCGAGATTTGGGGGCGGGGGGGCACGGGGGAACCAAAGGAGGAACCAAAGGGAGAGCTGGGAGAGCAGGGAACGGGGTTCGGGGGTTCCAGGACTGAGAAAAGGGGAGGCTGCGGTGGGTAGAGGGGGCACGGGCTGGGCTAAGGGGGTTCCTGCATGCAGGAAAGGGAGCTCCAAGGAGCCCAGGTGTTCCCATTCCCAGCAAAAGGTGGGAAAACCCGGGATGGCCGGGAATAAGGGTCCCAGGTGTCCTCGGTGTGAAGGAAAGGAGGGGCTGGGGGCTGGGAAAGGCAGGAACTGGGGTCCAGGGGGTCTCTGCGGGAAGGAAAAGGGGGCTCATGGGGCTGGGAGAGGCGAGATGGCCGGGAAGGGGGTGCGGGGTGGATCCCCTGCCCGGGAGTGGGGGTGCGGGGGTTGTTGGTGCCGGATCAGGGGGTGCAGGGTGGATCCCATGCCCGGGAGTGGGGGTGCGGGGGTTGTTGGTGCCGGATCAGGGGGTGCAGGGTGGATCCCATGCCCGGGAATGGGGATGCGGGTGATCCCGGTGCCCAGGAATGGGGGTTCAGGAACCTCCGGTGCTCCGGGATGGGAGATCAGAGAGTCCCGGTGCCGGGGGTCCCCTTCAGCTCCCGCCGCCCCCCCGGGGCCCCAGGATTGCCCCCAGCCCCAGCGCTGGAGCCATCGCGCTGC